CGTGTCTGGGCGCTCGTTTCTTTTCGTGGGCGCTCGTGGGCAGTGGGGGTCGTGTGGGGTGGTGTGCGTCGTTTGTGGGTGGGCGGGCTCGTCGGTTGTCGTGTCCGTCCGTCGTTTCGTTGCCACGTCGCTGACCGTGACGTGGCACCTGGTTTGTTGTCAAAAGGTGGACTGGGAGGGGTTACCCAGTCCACTTACCTGGGCTGCAGTCGAGGCGGAACGTCCATTGACGTTCCGCGTCGTCGTCGTCGCCTCCCATCCGTGTGACGTGGCGTTGCCACGTCGTGTGGCTCTTGCAATGGCGGGGTCGTTGTTGACGACGTTGCGTGTCGTCGTGCACTGTCAGCGTGGTCGTCGTCGTCAGTGAGGTCGTCGTCGTGGTCGTGGTCGACGTCGATGTCGCGGGCGGTCGTCGTGGCTTGAAATGGTGGGGTGGATGGTGATGGTGATGGTGGAAGGAAGAAACGACGTGGCATTGGCAATGCGTCGTGTCACGTTTGAGACGCCACGTGACACAAGGCGGTATATACATACCTTTACTTTACCATATAATAATGCCTTCGTGGCTCAGTTGGTTTGAGCATTGTTAATATTGACGAGGTCGAGAGTTCAATTCCTGTAGATGTAAATTTTCTATTTTTACTTAAATATAGTAAGGACACTATAAATACTGTATTCTAATGGTATAATGGTCATCCATGGAATCCATGTGGACTGCTCCATGGAATCCAAGGTGGATATGCCTGCATTCCATGTGGAATCCAATGGAATCCATATGGAGTGGTGTTGGAGTCCATATGGAATTAATCATTCCATGACCATTCCATGGTCATTCCATATGGAATCCATGAGGTCTATGGAATAAGGAAATGGCTGGGTCCTCAGCCAACATGGATTCCATGGATTCCATATGGAATTATCCATGGATTCCATGGATTCCACATGGATTCCATACGGAATAACCCGGGGAAGGTAAAGACCTCCACAAAGGGCATAATCCATGTTCATTTGTCTACCAGGAGTAGGGTCTCAGTCCAGTACCAATAGACAGATTGGAAAGAATACCTTTCACCCTTCTGAAAGTCCACAACACCCCTGGGACAGTAGCAGCCATGTCTCAAACATGCGGCGGCTCTGAGTCCCATGGAATCACATCCTTTGTGAATACAGGCCCTATCATTGACAGCATGATGCTCATTGCAGGTTGGTGCCTAGGGGATCTAAGTCAAAATGGTCCGGATCTGATGGAAATCGACTTGCCTCCTTGGTCTCCTTAGCAATCTTTAAATGCTCCTTATATCTTGTCGTTTTCACCATGTATCCCTCCCCATTCTTTAACCACACATCCGTTTCTGGCCTCCATTGTAACTTATGATTACAAGTAAAGTTTCCATCCAATACAAAGCCCCGAGTATAGGCCCATTGCTCCGGATCCTCCTTCCAGTTGTCCAGAAGGTTTACCCCCGGCTGGGGGCATGCTGCACAGAAAAGGGCTAACTCCTCAGATCCTGGTGAACAATGATGGTGCCCAAAGCCAAACCATTTGTATTCTTTCAAACTTCTCCATTGACGACTGGCCTGCAGAAGCTCTCGATATCTGTCCTGTAGGCCCATTTTAAATCAGTAGTGCCCTTCCTGAATTTTCAATATTACCTTCACTCATTTTGGAAATGCTTTGGAGGTGATTCTCCAGAGTTTGGAATAGTAATGGGTGGTGGATGTCTTGCATTCCAAATTCTCTAAAAGGTAGTCATCAAGGACATTGAAGGTGAATATGACAGTACCCACTTTCCACAACCAAGAAGATATAAAATATGAACCATTCCAGCTCTCCACCCTGTGAAATGGATGTTGACGATGTGATATCCTGCAGCAGTCTGTGCATTGGCAAGAGTTTCCAAAACAATCCTGGCATTTCCATGTACCCTCCCGATTGCCACAGGTATAACACATATTGGACAGCGGGGGAGCCTCTTGTTCAAGTATTTCATCCAGATAAACTTGTCGATGATACACCCATTCTCATAGATAATCATTGGATGACTGTATGTTCTGCCAGAGTATATAAATATGGATGGAAAGATCAAGTTACCTTTGACCCAATTCTATCCTGACTGTCCATATCCATGAACATAATTTCTTCATGTAGGTCCGTGGAAGAATCAACCTGTTCGATGTTTGGTAAAGAATCTGGGTTTTTCTTTGGGGATTGAGATGAAGAGGACGCATTTTGAGAAGATGAGACGTCTTTTGGGAAAACTGTCTTCACTCTGACATTTCCACAGGGACCTTCCAGATAACGGGTGTGTTTCAGAGAGCCGATGACTTTCGATCTCCGTGAACTCATTTCCACTTGCTGTAGTGGCCATGGAGAACAGGCTGTAAAGTCAGTTCGACAGTGGTCTCATGTTCAACCTCATGTTCATCAAACAAAAGACAACATTTTTTTTGGATCTCTGGATTGCTATACATACGGCGTACCTTCCCTTAATCGTATGGGTGGGGGTCAGCTGCCCTCGCAGACCATTAAAGTAAAGACCAGCAGAAGATACTGGACATTCTATTTTTAACTGTACAATCTCTAACTACATTACCAAAAAAGGAAGAAAATTTGACAAACATGGTAATCCCGCCTTTGTTTGGTTATCAAAACAAAGTCTAACATTTCTCTACCCAACTCAACAAAGAAAAAAAAAAGAGAGAAAAATACATTTTCATCGAGCTAGACATCCCCTTGCCCCCCATAGCTGAAATACCTGCTCCGACAATGGTAGAACACGTCACACCCACACCCCATATCTGGGAAGACTGGCAGATAGATATCCTCGAGAGATATCTGCCAGATTACAAGTCAAAGAAAACTGTGGGAGCTTGGGTCGCCATTATGGGGAAGGTCCTCACCAAATTTAAGGGAAGGTCGGAGTCTGGGGATGGAGGTGGGGCGAAAATGCGGAAGGTAAGCTTGGTCCTAACTGGATGGCCTTTCAAAGTCTCACTTCCATCTTGAAGGCGGTCCAGCAATGGTTCGCATTGAAGTCGAGAGTTCGCAAGCCCAAAGAAATAAAAATAAGAAGCATGAATTGGAACTTCTGGACTGTGGCGGCCGTTCAAAAGAAACTGGAGATCAAAGATGCCCAACAGATGTTATCAGGGGATGGGGAAATCAAGTTTGGGAGTTTTCAAGTTGGGTTGAATTCAGTGCTGAGCAATATGGGGGAGTCGGAGATAGAGGAGCTAAAGGAGACAGCAAGATGGTGGAATTTAGAAGGACCTCCGGATGAGGAGAAGCAGAGGTATGGCCTTTCCTTCATGATTTTCAGCCAGCTCATTCATAGGGAAACAGGCTTGCAGTAAAGTCCGCAATGAAGTTCTGCCGGACGTTTGCTGAGAAGGCCTGGAAGCAGCTCAGGGGCAGAGTATAAATCTTCTGGGGATGTCGGGATGAAGACAGAACACTATCTGCATCCAAGTTTGACTTTAATGCTGAGCTTGGGATGGGGACGAGCTATCGAGACGTCAATCCCGAAGGAAGTCTGTCTGACATTTCCTGGGGAAAATATCTGCAGCAATGTTATGATGGACAGGACAGGTCCGGAGAAACTGAGATTGCCCTCAGAGGAAACCGCAGTGCTCCAATGGATCTGGAAACGAAGGAGAATGGTGAGCCAATACTGCTGGAGCCAGATACATGGCCCTCGGAAGTCAAAGGGGAGGTCATCATTTGATGGTTGAAAAAGCTATTAACATCATTTATTGGACTGCATTATTGTGAGTGGGAACAGGTCCACTCCGTATGCCCATTTTCTAAAGTCGTCAAAGCACTGGCTATTCGCTGCTTCTCAGTGGAATTTTTCCCGTAAGCCCAACCACGATTCTGAACGCTGGGTGGAAAATCCTCCTCAGCTCATGTTGGCAGGCACAACTGGTCACGAAGCCTTCTCCGCGATATCTTCATCACCATTTTGCCCCGTCGTTCTAGCAAGCAGGTCCCTAGCAGACCCAGAATGTGAGGATGACAAGCTCCGGGCGTATCTAAATATGATCCTCCAATTTCCAGTGAGTTGGTTTTGTTTTGTGCCTTGGAATTTCTTTTTGAAAATTCACTGGCTAGGTCATCCAGCGCCTCGAAGCCTGGGTCCGACGGCTGCGGCACCACTTTACGCATGCCGTTGACAATGCCCAGGCATTTAAGGCTCTAAGAGGAGACAACTTCAGTCTCTCCTGAGTGAAGATACTGGAGGATCTTCAAGATGCTGGCGTGGGCATCCACGAGCCTCAGTACGATTGAGAAGTGTGTACATTGCTGCTTTTGGTGACTCTTGCGAGGCTGATCATATAGGGTTTTACTAACGACCATTCGTAACATGGGTGGTCGCCCATGTCCTCGCTGCCTTATTCTTAAGGGTCTTATTCATCAAGTAGGTACTGAATGCGACAAAGTGCAGCAAAAACTTTCTCCAAGAAAAAATATGCCAAGCCAAAGCACTGATCTACGAAAACAATTGGGCGGTTGAGAGTGCTCCAGTGCAGCGCATTCTCAAGCTGCATTTGCTAGTACCAACTCTAGTAAGTCTGTGGCACAGCAAACCAACTTTGTATCTAAGCTAAGGCTTGCCACAGAATGCATTTTCACGCTTCTCGCACTTGCTCTTCAATTTCTTTGAAATATTTCACATCGATTTTATGCATGAGGTCGAGTTAGGAGTTTGGCGGGCCCTTTTTCTCCATCTTCTTCGGATCTTGGATACTATTGCTGAAATGGCAATGAAGAAGCGAAGAAGCATAATGAAATATCCTAATGAAAATTCTAAGAAATGGTAATGAAAAGCAAAAGAGCCTAATTAAATATCCTAATGAAAATTCTAAGAAATGGTAATGAAAAAGCGCTGGAGCCTAATGAAATATCCTAATGAAAAGTTTAAGAAATGGTAATGAAAGGGCCAAATACCTAATGAAATATCCTTATGAGAAATAGTAATGAAAAAGCGAAGGAGCCTAATGAAATATCCTAATGAAAATTCTAAGAAATGGCAATGAAAAAGCGAAGGAGCCTAATGAAATATCCTAATGAAAAGTCTATGAAATGGCAATGAAAGGGCCAAAGAGCTTAATGAAATATCCTCATGATATCTCATTAATCTTGCCTATATCTTATGAAAGATTCCAGTGATAAATTGAATGAAATAGATGGGCAATCCTAATGAGATGCCTTTCATAAAACCTGTGGCAGTATACACATTGCCTCTTGGACAGTTGTCATAGATTAATCATAAAAGTGGTAGCCACCAGTCTGAGCAAGAACTAAGGTAAATTCAGCCACAAGCAACCACTTACAAGGTGACACTCGAACCACATCGCGGTCTGTTCGACTGGGCCCTGCACCTGGCTCTACGGATAACAAGCCACTTTGTGGCTCCGTCACAACCGGCTTTGGATCCTCTGGCCCAAGAAACCCTTCGAAATGCGCCTGACATGCCTGTATATAAAGAGTGCTTCGAGGGGATGCAGTCGTGATGTTGGGAAAGGGGTGTTCTGGATAGTCGTCGATACAGAGTTCATGGGGGTCCACCTCAGAAGGACGGCGATTGCGGAGGGTGGCAATGCTTTTTGGCATTGGTGGGCGTACATTCAAAATGTTGATTTGTGGAGGTATTTTGGCTGGGGTACGAACCAGCCAAACAGGCGCCCCAATGCGAAACAGAGTCTCTGCCGTCTCGAGACTGTCAGTGATGGCCCCCATCACAGTCTCGTCAACGGGGTAGACCTGGCGGTTAGGTTCGAGGAGGCGAGCCTCCCAGGTTTTGAACCAGTCAACCATCGCAAGGGTTTCCATGTACAGGCGTTGGAAGCTGGCGACGTGCCAGACCAAATCCCAGTAGTAGAAGGATGTAAGTGAGAGGCGGCCCAAAGCATCGCGCATCTGGTTGGCCACGAAGAATAAACACCCCACCCTTGGCTGTAGTCCTATGCCTTATATTCTGCAAGAATGCACTTTATTCATTTCCATAGGGAGTGCATTTGACCACTTGGTCAGGATGTGGGTTAATGCACAGCTTGCTGTAGGGTGGGTGGGAAGAGGTATTGTTGATATTATATGGGTACATATTCATTATTTAATTCTGGGGAGACATTTATGTTCCCACAGCTTTGTTTCTCCTAGAAAGAACACCTGAAACTTTACCATATATATATTTGATGATGTTCTGACACTCCTAAATAGTTTCCTCTGTCAAATCTGACCGAAATAGGCTGGATGCGACAAATCCATTTCGGATGACCTTGGGCCTTTTGATGCCTTTGGTTCACAATTGTCAACAATGCATAGTTTTACTTCTGAGGAGATATATATGTCCTACAGCTTTGTTCCTCCTAGAAACAACCTTTAAAACTTGACCGAATATATCTGTGATAATGTTCAAACCACTCCAGATAGTTTCCCTCTGTCAAATCTGACCGAAATAGTTGGATGCAACAAACCATTTTTGGATGACTTCGGACCTTGGATGGCATTGGTACACAGATACAAACAAAATGAATTACAGTTGTAGCTACTTTACCTCATGACGGACAGGCAAAAAGATGGTAGTAAGAGTGTACTAAAGTATCTATTCCATGTCGTGGTCGTTGTCATGGTGGTCCCTGTCGCGTTCATCAGGGTGGTCCTCTGTAGCGTCGTCTTCACATTGTGGTTGTACAGCCTGTGTGGTTGTGGTAGCGAGATCGTGTCGTATTGGTTCATCTGGTCGTGGTCACCATTGTTCATTGTGAGTCATGGTCGTTCGTCGTCGTTGTCGTACATCGTGGTCATGGTTGGTGGGGCATTGTCGTCCGCAGCGGTGGTCCTCGCATCGCGATGGCACGTCGTCGTCCATTGTTTTTGCTTTGTGCTCGTCCGTTGTGGTTGCATAGTCGTCCCACGTGGTTGTGGTCCGTTGCCGCCAATGAAGGACGACACCATCTGTCATCGCCATTTGTCAGAGCGAAGAATGAAGAGGAGAGGGCTGTATGCTTACTGGGATCAGCTACTCAATGCGTAGCGGCCATCCCTCGCATCCATCACCCCCCGCTTGCTGCCACGCGCCTCAACCTCGTTTTTTACGCAGTTCAGTCCGGTCCCGCAAACGGCACAACATCCTGGATCGTCACTGTGTGGTCCTCGATCCGATGACGACGAACAACAAATCGGTTGTTGTTCGTCATTTGGTTGCCACGTCGCTGTCGACGACGTGGCATCTGGGTTATCTGTGTTGGTGGTGGTGGTGATGGGCGCTCCCCGCCCGTGTCGTTCGAGTGGTGATGGTGGTGGGCGCTGCTCATCGACATCCGTGGGTGGTGGCACTCGTGGCCGTTGTGGTGGTAGTGGTGGGGCAGCTTGGCTTGGCTAAGGCCTCGAGCTCGGAGTAGGCGGGACGTGAGAGGCGCTTGAAAAGAGGTCGGTCGGCGTATGTGTCGGCAAGTGGCATGGACAATCCGGGTGGCAGGGAGACTGGTTCCAGGAAGACTCGGGTGGTGCGTCGGGTGAAAAAAAAAGGGAGTGGGGTGATGAGAGTGGCGACGTGCCCTGATAAAGAGTACACAGAGGTACGGTTTTAAGCATGGAACCAACAGCAAAAAGATAGGACTTACAAAGGATCTGCGTGTAGGCGCAAAGACACGATCTTGATTGAGGCGGACATAATGAGCGTGCAAACGAGAGGTTGCGACGCCTACTGTGCTGAAGAGAGGGCATCTGTCACCACGACGAGCTGTGAGCTACTATAGCCAATTTTTTTAAGGTAGTCCATCGCATGCTCACCTGCATGATTCCTCGTCATATCCACTCTATTCCTTAACCACCCCATCCGTCGTGATGTCGTCGACCGGGCCAGGCAGATTTGTGGGTGGAACCCCGCCGAAAACAGTCTTCAGTTGTCGGGCTCGGAAATTTTGCGATGTGTGTCCTCTTTGGCGTTGCCACGTCGTTGCTGTGGTGGTTGTGGGTGAGAGTTCTGTTTGATTGGGGTGGCACTAGGGTCAGTTGTCGAACGGAAGGATGGAGTAGGCGACGTACCACTTTGAGACGACTCACGGAATGAAGGATGGCAGCGACGGCGTCGACGTGGCTGCTCAATCACCCATCAACAGCGCTCGGAATATGCCGAGCGCTGAAGGAGCACGGTGCGCACTTCCTCGCGCACTTGTTATTGAGGGAGAAAAATACGGAAAAAAGTTTTTGAAGGTTCTAAGGAATGGAACTAACATTTGAGATAGGTAATACTATGTATTTTTGAGGCAAGGAATAAAAGTCAGAAAAGTTGCAATCTACACCTGAGATTCCGGCACTTTCAGTTGCTTTATTGTGAACCCTCTGCACCAATCCTATCACCTGTATCTCCAAAATCCTCTGATTTCCATACAATTTTGGGAATCTATTCAGTTTTCTATTCTGAAGATTTCTATGTAAGTTTCATGGCCATTGGATGGTTTAAGTGGACACAGTATAGTTAAAGTCTGAAGAAATACACCCTATTCAATGACTTTTACAACAAAACCTTCATTATCAAAGTGAATACAGTACTCACAAATTTTATATAAACACCCAGGTAAATCTGATTCCCTCAAAATTAGGCAAGCAGAGCAAGATTTCCCAACACAATTCTATGTTTTAAAACCCTCCTAAAAAGTAAAATTTTGGAACAAGACTTCAGGTGTGTTCTTTCACTCAAAATTTCACACTGCCTGTCCTCATATTCTTTTACTTATGAACTGAATGCTGGTAGGCTATGGCTGGCATGTATTAGCTTACAGGTTGCTGGAATAATATGTTTTTGACATTTAAAGACAAAGGCAGATTGTTCTCTACAGTTTTAAGCCAACTTGTGATGAGAGAATAAGTCCAATGTTGTGAATTAAACATGCTAATGTGTATTCCAATGTCAGTGTAGTGTCCCCTTCCTCTCCTGGCTCAATTTCAGTTGTATTTCCGATGTCTTTTTGAGAACTTTGCATCTGTTTGTCTACAGCTTCAAACTCGTCATCCAACTTCACCAAGTGGCATCCATCCACTTACAAGGGCGCCATGAACACACAAAATGGAAAAATGGTCTATCTTCTTCTTTTAGAGTACAAAAATGTATATTTTTCATTAAATACAGGTGTAGAGATCACAATGACCATGCATTTTGAAGATCTTAGCACTTGGGCAACTGTTTGTATCTATGTGGCAATGCCTTTGGCAGCGTCATCCAGCTGGAACCTGTGCCATCCATCCGAAAAGCTGCTGAATTGAAATACAAAATACATACTATATGATACAAACCAATTGAAATTGAAGAAGTATGAAGTCAAATCCATCAATATATTGAATGACACCCTCAAAAGCACACTTTTCATTATTCCGCTCTCAGAAGCTACCTTTGTTGATGATTGTTTGTTACCTAGAAGGATCAAAAATAAAAGGTCATCCGGAACATGACTTGCGCATCCATCATCTCCACACCTCTGATTGGGGCGGAAATTTTTTGAAAAAATCGGAAATATATTTCTACATTACTTGGTAGCTTTGAGTAGCTGTAACACAAGGTTTGATGGAGAAAACTGAGAATCATTACAATTGGAATATTCTGGTGAAATGCAGCTTTTTTAGAAGAATTATGATGTGGAAAAACATATCTGGATGCTCTTTTAGCAAGAAAAACATACACAGAATACAAGAAAATATACCAGTCAACAATGCTGATCCAGGATGTACCATTTCTAAGAATTTTCAATCATAAAACATATCTGAGCTATATTTAGATCTGTCCAACCATATTTAGGCAAAAAGAAAACAGCCACAGAATACAGGAAAACATGCCAGTCATCAATGCTGATCCAGGATGAGATTTTTGAATCAATCAAACATATCTGAGCTATGTTTAGATTTGTAATAAATTACAAACATTCTGGATCTCAAGAAAAAACATATCTGGATGCTCTTTAGATAGACAAAACATACAGAAAACATATCAGTGATCCAGAATATCCCATTTCTGAGAATTTTTAATCATGAAACACATGTGAGCTATATTTAGATTTGTAATAAATCACAAACATATCAGGCTAAAAATAGATGCTGTAGAATGATATTATAAGCAGAAACCATATTCTGGGGGGTATATTTTATTATAGGTGCAATGATTTTTATTTTTAAAAGGCTTTTTTTCAAATATTCCAATGTTCCACAACCCATGGCATTTTGGCCAAGTGGCCAATTGCACACCCTATGGAAATGAATAAGGTGGAACATTCCAGGTCAATTTGGTCTAAAACTACAGCCTGGGCTGAACACCCACAGATTTTGGGGTCTTTGGTGCGGGCGATTTCGGCTACTTTGGAATGGAGGTTTTTGGCCTCTGACCTCATGACGCTCGCGATCTTCTCATCCAGAGTTCCCAGGTCTTGAAAGGCCGAGCCTTCCACAGGCTTGAAATGCCTGGGATCATCCCACCAAAGCCAATGAAGGGGGTGGTTGTTTATGTCTTGCTCGAGTGGTCGCCACAGCACAAAGGTGAGGTGGGCGGTTTTGCTGAACCACCATTGGGGGCAGATGGTGAAGTCGGCATGTGTGAATCAACCATTGGCACGGGCCCGGATGGGCAAAGGAGCTACTGTGATGAAGGGCAACCAAGACACGTTGGGGGAAGTGACAACGCCTCGTCTAGGCACCAATTGACCGCCCGGAAGAGAAAACGCGGACATTTCCCTCGTTGAAGGGGCGAAAGATTCGTTGAGCTCGCCCAGGACAAGGGCATCATATGGCGTGATATCCTCTACCAAACAAACCGTTATTAAAGTCTTAAAACACCGCAATTGTCACTTACCACAATCCCGTTGATTCAAGGGCCACTTGGTGTCACCGTCTTCATGATGCTCGCGGCCATAGCAATCTGGGCTGCCATCTGTGTAAGTTATCAGCATTTTGAACAGAGGAAATAAGAGATCAAGAAATACATACATGAATTCACTCTGCCGGACATAGTTGAAGGCGATTTGTACCTGTAAAAAGTAAACCAAAAGTTAATTGATATCCGTCCATGCGTATTCCCGAGATCGAGTATTCGCCAGGGGATGATGTGGTCAAATGAAATAATGATGAGAGAATCACAGCTCTGTGTGTATTCCCGGGCTCGAGTATTCACCAGGAGATGTGATTCTGTCTCGCAACCGACATACAGTCAGGTTGGTGCAACCGACGTAGAGTCTGGTTGCTGCGACCGACGTATAGTCTGGTCGTGGGCGCGAGGAAGGGAGCATAGCCAAAGAAACGGAACACGACTTCAACACGAAGAAGGGTGCATGAGAAACGAAACACGATGCGCGAGGGTGCATGCCTGGCCAAAGAAACTTTACGCGACCAAAGAAATGAAACACGACTTACCGATGGTTGAACATTGAACTTCGAAGGTGACCCAATGGTAGGTCGATTGTCTGGGTGGGATTCGGTGAGCACAGCTACGAAGTGTGCCATGCCAAGAGTGAACAAGTCAGGTTCTAGCAACCGACACATCGTCAGGTTGCTGCAACCGACCAAAAGTCAGGTTGCGAGTGGCAGAGGCAAGGTGAGGCAAGGACCTGGCTTACCTTGAACTTGTAGTAGTGATTGTGGCTGAGACCTGGAAACAAACATAACCAATGTAAACCAATATAACCTCAAATGGAGCGTATCTTGAAGCGCTCTAGCGCCACCATGCCCGCCCGCCAGCAGACTCTATGTCGCTGGGTTGGGTCGACCAGACTATAGTCGGTCGTTGCCCGCGCCATTCAACCAGACTGTAGTCGGTTGAAGTGGTCCATCAGGACTCATGGCGCGATCGAACGTACTCCCAATGCCAACACCAGGACCCTCTTGCAAAATCGCCACCAAAATTACGCCGCCATGCCCGCCTGCCAGTCGAGTTTCTGTGCTTCGAATTTCTGTGCTGGGATCGGTCAATCAGATTGTAGTCGATCCGGACTGATCATGGCACAATCGAATGTGCGCCCAATGCAAGAATTGCAAGACGCCTCTCGCAAAATCGGCGCTGTGATCGTTTGTGCAGCCAGTGCCAATTTACGCGACATGTGGGCCCCACTTGCGCCCACCGTCAACATTGTCGTTGAGTATTGCATCGGTATGTACTCAACTCTCCACCAGAAACCAAATGGTTCACATTTTTATAGCATCCAGCCTCAATGGAACCCATCAGCATCCCCCAGCGTCCCCCCACCATTTTCGACTGGTGGCTACCACTTTTATGATAAAACTAAGGCAATTGCCTGTAGAGCTGTGTGTATAAGTCCACAAGTTTTATGAAAGGCCTTTCATAGATGTGTCCTGTGTTTTCTTTCTCATAAAGGCAATGTTCTTTTCATAAGATATAGGCAAGGCCACAGAGTGCTTTTCATAATTAAACCTGTGCGCTTTCAATAGGTATTTCATTCACTGGGTTAGGTGTATTCATTGCCTTTTTCATAATTAATGGTGTGCACTTTCATTGAATATTTCATTAGGAATTTTGGGCGCTTTCATTGCTTTTTTCATAATTAATCCTGTGTGATTTCAATAAATATTTCATTCACTATGTTAGGTGTATTCAATGCCTCTATCATATCTAATGGTGTGCGCTTTCATTGAATATTTCATTAGGAATATTGGATGCTTTCATTGTACTTTTCATAATTAATGTTGTGCAATTTCAATAAATATCTCATTCCCTAGGTCAGGTGTATTCATTGCCTCTTTCATATTTAATGGTGTGCGCTTTCATTGAATATTTCATTAGGAATATTGGATGCTTTCATTGTACTTTTCATAATTAATGTTGTGCAATTTCAATAAATATCTCATTCCCTAGGTCAGGTGTATTCATTGCCTCTTTCATATTTAATGGTGTGCGCTTTCATTGAATATTTCATTAGGAATATTGGATGCTTTCATTGTACTTTTCATAATTAATGCTGTGCAATTTCAATAAATATCTC